AGAAGGGGGCCAGAATGGGGGAACCCTTAAGTAGTACCAAAATTAGCTGCCGTCTGCTCCCTGCTGGTGGGTCCCTGGGGTGTAGAGTGGCAAGGAGGGTGTTGGGGCTGAACGGAGAAGAAACTGAGATGCTGATAAAAACCACCCTGCTCGAGGGGTCCACGGGCCCTGGGTCTGAAGAGTAGAAAACCAATAGGGGTTGGTCGATCGGAGTGCCTTCTCAATCATCCCCCTGAACCCCATCTCGGTTCTGGAAGGGGATCAACACCGCCTGGAGGGTGACCCAGTCCTGGCCCTGGGCTCCCAGGGGGCAGGGGGAGGGGTGGGCACGGTGGGCTCTCCCCCCACCCCTCCCCCGGCTTCACCTCCCTTCCTCCCGGCCGGCCCGGCCCCCGCCCGGCCCGTTGCAGGGCAGCACCCAGTTGTTATCGTGCAGACCCAGGCGGCAGCCAGGTGTCTCGCGGTCCGCTCGGCGGCAGCACATCCAGTAGGAACGTCCGTAAGGCAGGTCGTGGTGGTAGGGCTTCGGGTGCCAGCGGCAGAGCGACACGTCACCCTTCTCATATCTCTTGCGGCACTGCTTGCAAGGGTCATCGCGATACAGGGGGTCGCGGCTCCAGCGCGAGTCTGTGGCCCGCACACCGAACGCCTCAATGATGCCCTTGAAGTGGTGGCAGGTGCACTTGAGGGCCGCCAGGGCCCGCGTGGGCAGGAAGCTGAAGATCTTCACCAGTACGTGCTCGGGCAGCAGCAGCATGTACTGCCGCGGCTCCAGCAGCCGCTGGATCTTGAAGCGGATCTCCAGGAAGTCGTGCGACACGTGCCGATACAGGCGGCACAGGGAGGTGTCCGCTGTCCCCTCAGCGTCGTCCGGGCCTGGCGCGGTGGTGGGGGAGTCGGCTGGGGGCGGCTCGGGGGGCCCGTCCGGACCCCGGGACTGGAGGAAGAAGAGCTGGCCCGGTGGGGGCGGCTCCTCGGGGCTGACCGTCAGGCACACCGTCTCCTCTTTCACATTCTTGGTGCCATCCTTGCCAAAGAAGATGCACTCGTCCACCACACCCGTCACTACCACGTCCACGTGGAAGCCTGACGCGCCGCAGTCCCGGGCAGGGGGTGGAGGGGGCGCCGGGGGAGTGTCCTCAGGCCTGGCAGGGACCGGGCTCTCCCCCTCGCTGGCTTCATCCGCCCGAGCCAGAAGGAACTCCACATTGCTGGGCAGGGCATCCCGAGAGGGGCTGATGAGCTGGTACAGGTCACAGGTGATCTTGTCCTTGGCTCGGGCCCCGGGGCCTGGGCTGCCAGGGTAGGCACAACCGGGCCGGCCGCTGCTCCCGTTGGGCAAGCTGCCGTCGGGCGCCCGGGGCTCTCGGCCGTTGGAGATACGAAAGGCGATGCGCACCTCCCCTGGGCCGGGCCCAGGCCGCTCCTCTTTGCGGAGGCCTTTGGCTGGAGGGCTGTCCCGCTGGGCCTCAAAGTGGGCCACTGCCTCAGCTACGCGGCTGCAGTCCCCGCCACCAGACCTCCGCTCGGACCCCAGCCCTTTGGCAGGCCCACCCTGCTCAGCTGACACGAAGACCACAGGCGCCGGGGTGCCGGGGCGTGGGTAGTTCTGCAGGGCCAGGGCGGCCCGCTGTTCCACCAGGGCCACCATCTCAGCCACAGAGAGCAGGTCTACATCCTCACCAGCTGA